CGAGGGCTGCCTTGCGCCAGGTACGTGTCCCGGCAACTCTTCTTCGCAGCTTCCTTCTGCGGAACTGGGCGTGCAGGGGGGCGGGGGGCAGCCCTGGTCCTCTCTGAGCGCAGAAGCGTCTCCAGTGGATGCAAGTCGCTTTCTTAGGTCTCAGGAGGGAGAGGGTTTGGGTGCTTTGGAGGCGGCCGTGTCCGTGGAAGAGCTCGCTCGCATTAGTGGGATTTTCCTCCTGCTCTCTCGCGTCCGTATCTCCATTCATTGTGTGGGGCGGGGGGAGGCCGGGCAGCTGGAGGCAACGAGCATCTTCCTGCTAGATGTTGGCTCCCTTGTGCTCCGTGCAGCATGCTCCGCTCCAGCTTCCCTTCTTCCCCGTTTCCATAGAAACAGCAGACCAGACCATCGTCACCATATAGACTTCAGAATGACACCCGGCAAGGTCCCTTGTGTGTTTCGGGTGGGTGCGTTTGTGTCAGGGTCGGACACGCGTTGGTTGCCTTCTCACGTTCGGCGAGGAGCAGGTGGGGGAGGGAACGGGGTTGCCCAGGAAAGCAGACATTTGTGACATTCTATGGACGGCCACTTTGCTGAAGTTGCTTTGCCATCCACCAACGGGAGGTGGTTGTCTAAAATAATGAGCTTTGGCTGATGAAATGCAACAGGGTGCTCAAGGAGACGCAGCCTGTCTCTCCCCAGATCGTGGCTTCTACATTTTACAGCCAAGGGAGGAAATGGCTGGTGGGAATTGCTGCTTGCCTGTGTGTCAAGTTGTGCCTGAATGAAGGGGCTTTCCTTGCCTCTGTCAGAATGTTTGCTAGTGCTGCTTAAGACCAGGGTTGAAGAACCTGCGGCTGGCCAAATTTTGTTGCACTCCCGACTCGACTCAGCCCCAGACCCTGATCAGCCCCTGATCAGGCATGATGGGAGTTGCAGTCCATTGACAACTGCTGGACCACTAACCCTCTCCCTGAGTTAGACTAAGGCGATGACACAGCTGTTGGAGCAGATGTTTAGGTCCATTGGGGACTGCAGTTCTACAGAATAACATTTGCGTCCGACATGTACAAACAAGGAGAGAAGGATACTCTTGTAGGTAGCCTTATTTCTAAGAGTGTGAGTTACTGCTACTAGCGCTGCTGCTGCTATTTGTTGCTTGGATCTACTTATACCTCCATAAGAGCTAGTTTCTCACTGAAAGGTTTTTATCTCGAAAATGCTTGGAAGCCCCCCTGTCATCCTTCTCCCTTTTGTATTGACCCATAGCTGCAAATGTGTGAAAGATTCCAACTGTGGCAAGGATAAGAGTATGTTTTGTGGATATTTATAAACTGGTCTTTCTGTGTGTTTTTTTAAAAAATATCGTAAGGCATTTTTATACTTTTATTCAGCATTTTTTGTAAAATGTAACAAAAGTGGCAAAGCTACTTATTTATTGTTGTGTGAGCATTCATGGAAGAGAAACTTACTCACCAGTCACATAAAGTTGATAGTGCAGGGGTTGGCTGTTCTTTGGGTCAGAGTTGTGTGTGATGGACATTAAGCCTGACATTAAAATACCTAAAAGTGGTCATGTCACACCTCCATCACTTAACAACTATTAAAAATCGGTAGTTAGACATCCACAGGCTTTTCCTGTGAGGTTTGCCAAAACTTCATCTTCTCAATGGGATGTAAGGTGTTATAATGGATAGATAAATGCAATCTTTAGTAGTCTGCTATTAAAACTAGTCTGCTTAAGTAGTTTGCTATTTATTAAAAAGTGTCTATTTTTACCTTTTTTTTCTTTACAAGCTGAATTTTTTTTTTTTAATCTATGGTCTTATGACAGGTGTTAGCTTTTGTCCCGAACATCGTCATCATTATTTAAATGGAGATTGCATATGAAAATGATGAAGTTTATAGAGTGGGCTTGTGATAGTTGTGAAGTATACATTTATTTAGGGAAATATTGTGGCAGCTTCCTTCTTACTTCCTATTCTAGGCAGAATCTATTTGAAACATTCAGCTTGAGGAAGAGCTGAGGTTAGTTAATTCCCAGGAAATTTGTTGGCCTAAGCGACTTCAAGCTTTCTGATGTATAAGCCTGACAGGTATTTTGTTCTTTATTGCTTTTGGATCAGGCTGACTTCAATGTTTGTAGAGATGCAGCACACTTTGTCCATGACATTTTCTGAACCTTTTCTATTAAAAAAAGCCCAGGGAGCATGTCCTCTAGGTGGAATAGTAGATGTGGACTTGCAAAATGTACCTTATTTATTTTTAAAAGTTGTATTTTTCTCACTTCTTATCAGATGAAGACTAACCATATATAATACTAAAACTTAATACTGTGTGTGTATATTCACACACACACCAAGCCATATACAGCCAACAACAGCCCTCACCCCCCACCCTCAATATAGCATTGAACAAATCACCATTCATCAGAGCATGCATGACAGCTGCTTTTAAATTGCTTCCTATTTTAGCTGTCCTTATACAGAAAGCTCTTTGTCCAATATATATGGCAAGCTTAATGCATACAATCTTCTTCTTGCCCAGGGTTCCATAAATCCACTTGCCAGCAGCAAGCACCCCTGATTCTGCTCCACAAGTCCAACATAAAGATTATTTTTCTGAGGGGCTACTGCATGGTGTGAGGCAACAGCGAGGCATTGCTGGCAGTGTTCAAAATTAGCCAGGCTCCTGGCTATCAGCCACTTGTGACCAAGTGAAGATGCCTGGGTGCCACCTGGAGTCCTGTGTCCAGTTCTGGGTGCCACAATTTAAGAAGGATATTGAGAAGCTGGAACATGTGCAGAGGAGGGCAACTAGGATGATCAGGGGTCTAGAAGCCAAGCCTTATGAGGAATGATTGAGGGAGTTGGGTTTATTTAACCTGGAAAAGAGGAGATATGATACCCATCTTCAAATTTCTCAAGGGCTGTCACATGGAAGATGGAGCAATCTTGTTTTCTCCTGCTCTGGATGGTAGGAACCGAGCCAGTGGATTCAAGTTACAAGAAAGGAGATTCTGACTAAACATCAGGAAGAGCTTTCTGATGGTAAGAGCTGTTTGACAGTGGAACAAGACTCCCTAAGAAGGTGGTGGACTCTCCTTCCTTGGAGGTTTTTAAGCAGAGGTTGGAAGACCATCTGCAATGGATGCTTTAGTTGAGATTCCTGCATTGCAGGGGGTTGGACTAGATGACCCTCAGGATCCCTTCCAACTTTACAATTATATGATTCTGTGATTAAGATATTATGGTGAAATAGAACTGAGTGTCATCAGCATACTGATAGCAATATGATATCATTACGAAACTCCCTAATGATCATTCCCTTCCCAACAATTTCATGTAGATATTAAATAGCACTGGAGATAAGAGAGTCTCCTACAGCACCCCATTGTGTAGCTACCAGGAGGCTCAAAGGCAATGCTATTCTCTGGACTTGGTCCTAAAGGCAGGATTGGAACTGGTGTAATACAGTCAGTGCTGGTCCCAAGGCTAACTACCTGCATGCGTGCCAACACACACACACACACACACACACACACACACAAAGAGAGAGAGAGATGTTTTGTAGAAAAAATGAAAATCACAAAACTTGAAACAAAATTTATTTTAATTTGCAAGTAATACAAGCATTACCTGTGGATGGTGTATATTAACAAAGGCCACAAAGTTTTTGTTTGACAAAGTTTGCTAAAAGGATAAAATAGGTGGTACTTAGAGAACAGGGTTTTACCCTCATAAGTAAGTTTTAATAAATCTTATTGTAACATTCTGGGTTTGTCTCTCTAGAAATATCTTTTAAGAGCTATAACCTTCTGCTGGTGATATCTGTCAAGAAGCATCATGTCTTTCTATCGGGCACGGCAGCAGAGGGAAAGGAAAGGAAGAAGCACATGGTGCTCACAGTATTGACCTTGAAAGTGAAATGAAGAGCTAGCATTGGAAATAAAGCAATAGGGAGTGTTGTGCAGCTCTTATAGAAAGTAAACATGATCCCCTTGTGGGTGTTCAGATGGGGGGGGGGACCCAAACTCCTTTAACACTTATTGTTTGGAAATGGCAACATTTCTATGTTCAAGTTTCTGAAGTGGAGCTTTAATGGGAAAAGGGTAGAAATAGATCATATTTTAAACTATTTCATATATTTCCTATCCAAGGTTTTAGAGTCTGCAGAGGTAACCAATTTAAAGTGCTTTTCAAGGTGTTCCTTTTTGGTCTTGTCAGCACTGTGTCATTGGCAGCTAAGAGCAAATGTTCTGAAAATGTTTGTCTGTTTTATCAAAACGCATGCAGTGACCTCTTAACAGGGCCTGCATCCATTAAGGGTATTAGTAACATGTATCTTTGTGTGTTCCTGCCAACCTAGCAGTTCGAAAGCACGTCAAAGTGCAAGTAGATAAATAGGTACCGCTCCTGCGGGAAGGTAAACGACGTTTCCGTGCACTGCTCTGGTTCGCCAGAAGCGGCTTAGTCATGCTGACCACATGACCAGCTGTACGCCAGCTCCCTCGGCCAATAAAGCAAGATGAGCGCCGCAACCCCAGAGTCGGCCACGACTGGACCTAATGGTCAGGGGCCCCTTTACCTTTACTATCCTTCTGTGTGTGTCTGGAAAATGTCACATTTTCTTTTCTTTTTTTAATGAGCAAAGTTTTAAAATGTAGCTTTATATAGCTGCTTTCTACACTTGCCATATTTCCCTTCATCTGTAAAAAAATCAACCCCTGCTATAATCTGGAATGTGTGTTGGACCCTAAGATATAATCAAGATCAAAGGATCAAAGAAGGGTATGACCCAGTGACCATAGACTACCCCATAACTAGTGCTACATTTCAGACATGGTCCCAATATTGCTATGTATCATCTAATGTTAATTTTGTGAGATTTGCTTTTTGTGAGGGTGACATTAAATACGTTGCTGCTCTTGGGTAGAAAAGAGTGGGATTCATCACAGTAACACGAGTTTAACCTTTTTATCAACAAACGTTTTCTCATCTTTTTTGCAGTTAACTTTCCGAATTGTTTGGATTGCTTTCTGAAGGCTTTGCATTGCCGCCTTAAATCATGGACATCACTGGGTTTCTGAAGTCTCAATTCATTTGCCACCTCCTTATCAGTTATGTATTTATAGTGTCGGGACTGATAATCAACTTCATTCAACTCTTCACATTAATCCTCTGGCCGTTCAACAAGCAACTTTTCAGGAAGGTCAATTGCAAGCTGGCTTATTGCATTTCAAGCCGTAAGATATTTTTATACCTTTTATTTCTGTTGTGTTGTGGGAGGGTGAATTTTAAATGCGTAAAGCATTCCATGTTGCTTTTGCCAGATGTGTGTTGGGACATATGTTTCATCCTACTTTGGGGGGGGGGGCGAGGAAGAATCTCCTAGTTGTTCCTAAATCAATAACATGATTGTGGCACACACAAAAGCCATGTAGAAGTGTCTTCCAAGTTTAGCAACGGTGCCAAGTTTTACTGTGATTATGAAGATAGTGATGAATAACTTCTACAAATCACAGGATGAATTTCTTTGGATACCACAAAGACTAATACAGCTGCATTTGTTACAGCCATATAAAATATCACAAAGTACTGAGCAATTACATTATCGTCGCTTTTGGGTTTCCCTTGGACGAACATAGCTTGTGTTTTTTTGTCTCTAATGGTTAGGCTGCAGATAGTTGAGCTTCTTTTCTTCCCACACTCTGCTCTCCTCAATTTCCTAAGTATATATTATTGAGCAGCTTCCCCTTTCTACTCATGCAAACCTTTGTTATTGGCAGAGGGTTCCAACTGGATACATCTCTACAGATTTGCACAATGAGGGCTTTTCAGTCTATGTTTCAAACACAATTGGATTAGAAAAATGAAACTGTTCTGCATTATTGTTGTCGAATTCCAGGTTCTAAGGATTTTCTGCCATTCTGTTTTTGGCTTCTAAATGTCCCAGAACAAGTCTAAGCAACAAAGTGTCTATGCAGAGTGTCTGGGAGTGGCATGTACTATGCACATGAGTTACAATCACATACCACTGTGCAGTTCAAAAAATTCCTTTTTGTAAAAAACAACAACAACCTTCAACAACCTAGTTAGGAGATAGGTTATGAGCCGCCAGCAAGGCTAAATTTCTAACAAACTCTGTCTTCTATGATAGCTTTAATGAAGCAAAGTAAGAGATTGTCACAAGTTATGTCCAGCCCATGGAAACAACAAAAGTGGTTTGAAACCATTTTATCACAAAGAGAAGCTGGTGGGAACCAGGGGACACACACAACTACCTCACAGTCTCTTAACCCTGGTTAAATGGCAGCCTACATTCTAGTTGCATGAGTCTTGAATTGGCTCCCAAAGAAACCTTGAACTCAAGGGACTCTTCCTCTATCTGAAACAGTCTGTCTCTAGAGAGACAGACAAGAGCTGAAGTCTGTGAATAATCTCAATAGCGGGTAACGGGCTCCCTGGTGGCCACTTTCAGAGGAGTGATTTTTCTCCCCCACAGCCTGCTTTGATGACAGGTGTGCTTGCCTTTCTAAGAGAACCAAAGGGATAGTGAGTGTGTGTGTGTGTGTGTGTGTGTGTGTGTGTGTGTGTGTGTGGCACGGGTGTTAGTTGTCTTGGTTCCTAATTTTCTTTCTGAATAAATAAAGACGATGCCAATAGCTATTCTTGTGTGCTTCAAAGGGATGTTATTAAATCTCTGGATCAAATTACACTGTACAAATTATGACATTTGGATAGATGCAATGAAATCATTCTCCAGTGAATGGCAAAGCTCCTTGGTCTTAACCAGGGGCTGAGTGGAGAGTTTAGAATACTTACCCTTGGAGGAGGAAAAAATAGAAAAGGGAGTGGCAGTGAAAAGAATAATTTTTGCAACAGGTTTTTTGAAACTCCAGTAGAATAATGGTTAAACAAATAGTTAAGTTGACCAATAAAAAGGGAATAGTCTTTAGCAGATGTGAAGTATCAAAATTATCTCTCACAATAATGTAACATATGGCTGTTTAAATACTGATGGCAGAGTATTACCAGGGTTAGAATATGCTGAATGAAGTTTTTGTATACGAAGCTTGAAATGGAGACTCAGTTATGTGTGGTAAGTCGGGGACTGCAGCTATTTAACCTATTCATAGGTAATTTATAGTCTGTGGGTAAGCGATGAGGAAGCAAAGTCTGTAGTTGAAACTATGTTATGTGGAAAGTAAAATCCAAAGCAAATACTGAAGAACCCAAGAAAGTTCTCTCCTCAAGCTTAGATCCAGAAAATGGCAAGGGAAATGTAAAGTGGTGCAAGGACTATTTTTCTATGTTGTTTCTATGTTTTCTAGACCGTCTAGAAAGTATTTTTCCAGTGTGCGCTTGCTGAGAGACACACAGTGACACCACTTCATGTGTCTGGTATTTGAGAAGCAGGATCGTTAGAGGCTTGGGCCAGTCTTAATATATCTCTCCTTTTAACAAAGTACATAAAAGAGGTGAGGGCTGTGAGGGCTGGAGAAGCTGAGTGTACTTTCAACATCTTTCTGTGAGAGTGAGTTAGTGTGTGAGCCTACTTGGGGCATAGTGCAAATTGTCAGAGTTTTTCATAGATTCAAGTATGTACAGCTTTTGGAACAGCTTAATAAAAGGGTACAACACCTACTTTTCTTGTGACTAGGTATTTTTGCCATTTTTGTTATCCCCCAAATTCTCTTGTGTCTTGAACACATTTCTAAAATAACAGAGGTGTTTTTGCCACCTTAAACAGTGGCATAAGGTTTAGTGGACTGTTGTCCATGAGAACATGAGCCATAAAAAACCTGTTCATATTTAAGGCGTCGTAAGCCCAGGGCATAAAAAGAAAATAGCTACCCCTCTGGGAAATGAGATTCCTGCCACTGTCCTAGTCCTTCAGTGTCCGCGGGTGATTTTTCTTGCGAAGTAAGTGTACAGTGCATAGCAAGAAGGAAACTGGCAAGTAGAACTATGGGAAGACATTCTTTCTGAATTCCTAGTGTGTGTGGGAAAGCAAGTCAGGAGGAATCCTATGCTTGCTACTCAAGCTACCCAACCAGGGATAGAGAAGAGAACTGCTGCTGCTGCAAGAATATGAATTAAAAAAGAAACAAAAAACAGGTGGTGGCAGGCAGGCAGGAGACTAGGTTTGCAAGAGTAGAGTGAGTGGGAGTCCCTGTGTTTCGGCCCCCCTCAGACCTGATATTTATTTATTTATTAAATTTATATACCGCCCTTCATCTGAGAATCACAGGGTGGTGTTCAGTATACCCCTAGATATGATTTAGCCTATTGAATTTTCATGTTCTTTGGAGATCTGTCATTAGGTTAGCCAGCGTACTCACTGGAGCTGTTCAAGAATTGAAATTGTAGAATGATTTTCTGAAGGGGGGATGAAAACATGGCTGAATGCTAATTCTTACAAAAACTTCTCTGTGTCTGCCTGTTAATCCAGATGCTTGAAAAGGAATGTGAGATCATTCTTCTGAGCCTGCACAAACTCACTGGTCAGATTTCCACACCCCACACTAGAATGGGGTGGTGTCTGCCATGATGTAGTGCACTGTGCTACTTGGCACCAACAACCAGAATTGACAGCAAGCAGCATAGATTTGCACTTGTTACAGGCTTTGCTGCCTTTCCACACTGGGTATTCTGAAACATCTAGTTTTCTATTTCAGTGGCTAATTTTCCTTCCCACCCCATCCGTCCACTCCTCTTGTAGGGACTCAACTGGAAAATTTTATATCACATTTTTAGAACATAATTCTTCTGTTTTGATTTAGAAATTGAAGAAATAAGATAACAATAAGTACAAAAATGGAACTCCAGTGCATTGTTGATGGTGTTTAATTGCCGCCGCCCGGCACTCAGTTTGTGAGTGCATATCAGATTTCCTTATTGTCAATTGTAACAGTGCCTGTAATGTTAATAGAGAAGAAAAAGACATTGTTGCACAAATGAGAGGATTGTTATTTTCCCGTTTGACCTCTTCTACACACACCTTAGTTGAAAAATGTTATAGTCTTTTCAAATTATCTATGTTTTATTTTTGGCATTAGGTAGACTACTTTTTCATTTGAGCTTATATTTGTATATTGGCATGGTTAAAACTAAATGTTAGATTTGGAAGCCTTTAGGGATTGAGAGGATTTGATCTCTGACTGAAGTTCGCTAGGTGTGGGCATTTAAAACACTGACATTCTGCTTGCCTTCCTTCTGCCTCCTTTTCAGTAGCCTTTGGATATATATTTAGTGCTAAATAACAAGGTAAGTGTTTAAAATGGGGTTTCACCTACTGCATAAGGAGTCAGGAGGATCTAATAAGCCCCTAGTTTAAATGGGATTGGGAAATAAAGAAACATAAAGGGGAAAAAACCAATTCTTAATTAGCTCAGCAAGACTCCTGCTTGCCTTACGGTGGCTAATCTTGATTACATGACTGCATGGGGGTTACCCTAAACCAGGGGTAGGCAACCTAAGGCCCGGGGCCGGATGTGGCCCAATTGCCTTCTCAATCTGGCCCGCGAATGGTCTGGGAATCAGTGTGTTTTTACATGAGCAGAATGTGTCCTTTTATTTAAAATGCATCTCTGGGTTATTTGTGGGGCCTGCCTGGTGTTTTTACATGAGTAGAATGTGTACTTTTATTTCAAATGTATCTCTGGGTTATTTGTGGGGCATAGGAATTCGTTCATATTTTTTTTCAAAATATAGTTCGGCCCCCCACATGGTCTGAGGGACGGTGGACCGGCCCTTTGGCGAAAAAGGTTGCTGATCCCTGCCCTAAACTATCAGGGATGCGGGTGGCGCTTTGGCCTAAACCACTGAAGCTCTGAGGCTTGCTGATCAGGAGGTCGTGGTTCGAATCCCCACGACGGGGTGAGCTCCTGTTGCTCTGTCCCAGCTCCTGCCAACCTAGCAGATAGAAAGCATGTCAGTGTAAGTAGATAAAAAGGTACCGCTGCGGCGGGAAGATAAATGGTGTTTCCATGTGCTCTGGTTTCCATCGCGGTGTTCCATTGCACCAGAAGTGGTTTAGTCCTGCTGGCCACATGACCCGGACAGCTGTCTGTGGACAAATGCTGGCTCCCTCGGCCTGAAAGTGAGATGAGCATCGCAACCCCATAGTCGCCTTTGACTGGACTTAACCGTCCAGGGTTCCTTTACCTTACCCTAAACTATCAAACTGGGGGGAATTGCTGTGATAAGTGACAATGCATCCCAACATGGTATCAGCCTCAAT